GTACATATTTGTTTGACTACAACACACAAGAAGAATATATTTTACTCGGGGACTAGTACTCACATTAATATAATGTGTACATAGAATAGAATAAGGTTCACAAAATATTAGTAATGATGACGATGATAGCTTATAGTGCTGCAATAAATGTAGCATGTACCACAATTGTTTTAAGTGCTTTACAACCATTAACTTGCTGACAGCATGAGCACTTTATTCCAATAGGTACTGTCCTACTTGAACACAGGCAGACTAGCTTCAGAGTCCTCTTTAGTAACTATAGATATGGAAACACCTAACAGGCACCTGCCTCTGCTATGCCCTCTTTGTTGACCCCTGGCACTACATTGTTTTTCATTCTCTCCAGTCTTTCCAAGTGATGCTTCCCCTGGTAACCCTACCTGAGGGGCTGCTCATCCATCCTATCCATAGCACAATGTAGTGGTCTCCAAGCATTTGCACCTAATACTGGTATGAAAAAAATGAGAGGAAGATATTGGTAGCTCAGAGTCACATTGTCCTCACATGATTTAAACTCTGGAGACAGCAGAATAGAAGAGCTAGAGAGAGGGGAAGGGGGAGACAGCTTAGATTTCATCAAAGGGATTCACAGAGCCCCTTTCTCCATGTTCCCTACCCCAAGCTTTACATTTGGGAGAGAAGCCTGCCTGACTTCCTGTCTATGGGAATGCTTCTCATGAACCAGCATGTTACATTAGCGATTCTGTGGGTGTGGTTCTTTGCTCTCTTGCGCATTGGTAGAACTCGAAGACTCTGCAGCAGTAGGGACCTATTCGCAGGGTCATGGAGTAGCCCAGAGATATTTGAGGCTCTCGATAATGTTTGCTATAAGGTGACACTGTAGGGACCAGGACACCTCCTGTTACTCTGTGTCCACAGGCTCAGCCCACCCCTTCTCCCCAGACTGGCTCTCTTCATATGTCCTTTGCTTACATCCATCCTTTTGACTTGTGTCAGCCCCTATTCAACCATCTTACTAGCTACCCTCTTGCAGCACCAGGATCCACCTCCCCGCCCCTCATCTATTCCTTGTTTTGTCTCTCAGGCAGGGAGGCAAGATTTTGCTTTGTAGCTCAGAAGGGCCTAGAACTCACTGTGTAACTCAGTTTGTTAATGAACTCATGACCTTCCTGCCTCAGCTTCCTATAATGCAGGAACTATGGCCTGGTACCAGTGACGTATTACTAGAACAGTTGTTTCCAATGTGCATGGTCTCTTTAGCTTTTGTGGGCTATTGTCACAAGGCCTCAAAATTGACTTCTCAAGCCATCCTACAGTTTGATACAAAAGGACTGAGCTGAGCTATGATCAGCACTTGGGAGTAGAGTTGGGAAGATCACCCTGAGCTTTGTGACATGAGGCCATGCCTCAACACCTCTCTAGCCCCCACTTCCCTAAAAAAAGACCTGGAAGATACAGAGATGAGACCAACATTTTTCATCCTGCTCTTTTTAAAAATTTTATTACATTTACTTAGTGTCTATGTGCTCTTGGGTGTTCACGTGCTGTGACACATCTTTTGGGAGTTGTTTCTCTCCTTATACCAATGTGGATCCCAGAGATTGAACTCGGGCCACTCAGGCTTGGTGGCAAGCACCTTTACACCATGAGCCATTTGTCAGCCTTGTGCTCTTGCTAAAATTTATTGTTTTATATTTAAATTTGGTTATTTTATATGTTTAGGCATTTTACTTGCATATATGTTTGTGCATCACATGTATGCCTGGTGCTTATAGAGGCCAGATGAAAATGTGTTTCAGGGATCAAACTTTTACCTGCCTACTGATCCATCGCTTGCCCACACTGCTTTTCTAGAGTTGTTACAACATGACACGAAGGCCCAGATTCTCCAGTGGAATGCTTGGTTGAATGAAGGAAGGGTCAAGGGAAACAGTAGTGAGAAGGAGACTGGAGACAAACTGGAGGTCAGCTGATGTCCCAGGGAAGTGGGGCTTTCTCAATCTAACAAAGCCTTTTAATCCACCTGCTGATTTTATAGCAGTCGCCGGCAATGATGTGGACAGAGAGGGTCAGAGTGGAGGCATGGAGTCCCTTCTGAAGTCACCCTTGCAGTGAGTTAGGCAGACGGTGAGAGCAGTGGCAGTGAGGCTTGGAAGAAGAGAGCACATTTACTCCTGGCAAAGCTGTCGAGGGAGTTGTTGGATCTTAACTTGTCCTAGAACTGCCTGTCTACTTCTGCCAGTTCTTTGCTGTGGTCACAGATGACCTTCGTGAAACTTTATGGCTAAGTTTTAGGCTTCATTACTCACAACCCAGTGAGACAGAAATAGAAAACCATGTTAGGGCAGCCCTGCCCTGTGCCTGGAAGATACATTCTTTTAGCCTCCAGTCTGTCTGGTTTGGACAGATGTGGGCAGAAGGTAGATTTTCCCACACTTTTTTATTTTTTAAAATATTGCCAGAGATTAAGATTTCAGTTTAAAAAATTTAAATTATTAGCTCGCGCTGGTGGCGCACACCTTTAATCCCAGCACTTGGGAGGCAGAGGCAGGCAGATCTCTGAGTTCAAGGCCATCCTAGTCTACAAGAGCTAGTTCCAGGACTGGCCCCAAAGCTACAGAGAAACCCTGTCGTGAATATTTTGAGACAAGATAGACCTGGCAGGCCTAGTACTCACTAGGTGAACTAGGTTAGTCTCAAAGTTGCAACAATCTTCCTGTCACCTCCTCTGGAATGCTCATAAGAGTATGCCACCAGATTGGGCCAGCTTTCATAAGTTAATTGTCACACAAGTATTGTTTTATTACTAGGCTAAGATACATTAGCACAGCAATTCTCAGCCTGTGAGTCTAGATCCCCTTGGGTCAAATGACCCTTTTACAGAAGTCTCATATCAGATATCCTGCATATCAGGATATTTACATTATGACTCACAACACTAATAAAATTATATTTATGAAGTAACAATGAAAATAATTTTATGGTTGGGATCACCACAACATGATAAACTGTATGTATTAAAGGATCACAGCATTAGGAAGGTTGAGAATTACCGCACTAGCTGTATTTTACCATTGTGGGAAAAGCATACACCGTTACCCCATCCCTGCTGCTGTGGAAAGTCATGTTTAGAAAGTGAAATAAATGGGAAAGAGCTAAGTTTGAAAAACAACTAACAAGTACTATTTAGTGCTTTGGATATTTATTTGTGATTTTTGAGGCAGGATTTCCCTATGTAGCTCTGACTGTCTTTGAACTCACTTCATAGACCAGGCTGGCCTCACACTCAGAGATTTACCTGGTTCTGCCTCCTGAGTGCTGGGATTAAAGACATGCACCACCAAGCCTGGCAGTGCCTTATATTTTAAACAATTTTTAGGGTTACAGGAATAAGGATATACTCCTTAGTTTTATCACTGTGGGGAGGGGACTTATGCATCGTACTGTATTCTGGGTACTTTTGCCTTTGAAGAAATTTCCATATGTATTTAAAATGGATGTCTAATGAACCAGTGCCTCTTACGCATATGCCACAGTTATCCGGAGTTTGTCATCTGTGTTGGGCCTTTCCACTGTTCTGAATGCTTGGTGAAAGATGTCTGCACTTGGAAAAAGACATGTGTTTAAATCTTTGTAATTATCACCTATTTGTAGTTTAGCATCCTTGAGAACCTGTGGAAATACTGTGTTTTTCTTGGCACTAACCAAGTGTTACCTTTTTACTTCAGCTGTGCTATTTAAGTCTTAGTGAAATAATAAATCTGTATCTTTTCTCAGGTATTCTAGGAATAACAGTCATCATTTCAGTTTTCTGTGTGTGTTCTCAGCTCTGTTAATGAATAACATTTTGAGCTATCTGATATTGATTCAGTATAATTGATAGAGTAGACAGGAAGTTGTTTACTTCTGTGTTTTCTAGTTGCAATTCTTTAGTCTGTGAGACTCTTATTGTAATAGTTCAAACTTCTAAAATTTACAGTAAAGTACTTTTTATCTTAGATTACTTCATTTATTCAAATAAGCCAATTATGTTTGTAAGTGATGTTAATAAAACCAAAATAAAAGTTCATATCAACCAAAACTGCTTTTTATTATTTATTTAATTTGTAAGTATTTTTCTCTCCATGGAAAGATTGGGTTGTAATTATAAAGAAGACTAGGAAAGCAGCAGGTCAACCTTGTATGTGGTATCTGAACTGATTACACACAGTCTTAAAGAATTTGTATGTATTTTCCATCAAAGATTTATGGAGCCATTTTTATATGCCATGTATTGAACACACCACAAGTATATCAATGAAAAGAATCACTTTTTTTTTTTTTTTTAAGAAAAAAAATAAAGACAGTAGCTCTAGCTCTGGCTGTCTTCACTGTGTAACTGATGGCTGTGAACTTCTGGTTGCCTCACCTTTGTCTCTCAAATTCTGGGATTACAGGTCTGTTACCACACCTGGTTACAAAGCTGATTTTAAAAAACCACAGATCCTATATTCTAATAGAAAATGATGGCATTTATGTTCTTGCTGTGATGGGGATTGAGCCTAAAGCCTTGCATATGCTGGGTAGGCACTCTTTCATAATCCCACACACTCCAGTCTTAAGAAAATAGGCATATTTAAAATAGTTAATTCAAACCAAGTGGTTTACTCCTGTGATTCTAGCACCTGGTAGGAAGCAGAAGAGTTTGAGCCCAGCTTGGTTTGGTTACATATTGGAATCTTGTTTCAAAAATAAAAATAAATAAATAAGAACAATTAGCACAGGACAGAAACACCCCAGACATATTTCTGTTAGTGTGTTATTGGCTTGGCTTCAGTATGAACACCATACTTTGTGCTTTTGCATAAGGAATGGGGTGCTTTTGTTTTGTTGAGAGGGTTTTCATGCTATTTGATTTCTTTTTTTTTTTTTTTTTTGGTTTTTCGAGATAGGGTTTCTCTATGTATCAGCCCTGGCTGTCCTGGAACTCACTTAGTAGACCAGGCTGGCCTCAANTTTTTTTTTTTTTTTTTTGGTTTTTCGAGATAGGGTTTCTCTATGTATCAGCCCTGGCTGTCTTGGAACAAGTTCTGTAGACCAGGCTGGCCTCAAACTCACAGAGATCGGCCCTACCTCTGCCTCCCAAGTGCTGGGTGGGATTAAAGGCCTGCACTGCCGCTGCCACCACTACCACCACCACCACTGACTCGTTATTTAATTTTTTTGCATTGTATGCATCCAGGTGATGCTGAGATTTGCATCACCGAGCAGCAGAGTGCTGTGTTACTGTTCTGTCAGTGTCTAGCTAGCTCAGAGCTCCTATAGCCTCTTGATGCAGGTGCTGTGTAGTGTCCAGTCTTGAGCCAAACCAGGTAATTTCCTTCTCTTCCTCAAACTAGGGGACAATAGTTGGCGTTGAGAGGTCAAGGCTGCGCCATTTTAAAATGAAGTAAAACATTGTTTTCCCTTTATGTAAGCAATGTATCCATACTACTAAACTAAGAAAACATGGAAGAAGTTGTAATTTCTTGACTATAGCATAGCTACACGTTTTTTCAACAAAATTGGGAAACCTACTCTTAATTTTAGTATATTTTCATGTGTCTAAAACAAGAATTCCGGGTTGGAGAGATGGCTCAGTGGTTAAGAGCAGGGGGGGGGTGTTCTTCCAGAGGTCCAGGGTTCAATTCCCAGTGCCCATATGACAGTTCACAGCTGTCTTCCAGTTACAGGGGATTAGACACCATCACACAGACATACATGAGAAGCAAAACACCAGCGCACACAAAATGAAAATAAATCATTAAAAATTAAAAAAAAAATCAAAAACTGCCGGGTGGTGGTATCGCACACCTTTAATCCCAGCACTCAGGAGGCAGAAGCAGGTGGTTCTCTGTGAGTTCTAGGCCAGCCTGGTCTACAAGAGCTAGTTCCAGGATAGGCTCCAAAGCTACAGAGAGACCCTTTCAAGACAAGCTTTTTCTGTGTAGCTTTGGCTGTCCTGAAATTTACTCTGTAATCCCTCCTGAGTGCTGGGATTAAAGTGTGCACCTCCACCTCCTGGCTCATCCATGTCTCCCATTTCACTATTTGTGGTGGGTTTTCCTTTGTGCTTGCTTCTTGTGGCTTCATTCACTGGATAGGGAGTTCTTTTACCTTTTTGGTCATATGTCAGTGTGTTAATTATATTTTAGTTATATTCATGCTTAGCCTAAAAGTTGTTGAAATTGATTAGCTAACAAGGCTAAATGTCTCTAAATGATGCTATGTATTTACATAGCAGCGCCACAAACCCCCACTCAGTATGAAGTCCTTGTGCGTTGAACTTACATTAGCAAATGAAAAATGATCTTAAAAAGATCTTTTCAATTCTAAAGTGGGAGAAAATCAAGTTAGCATACCTGTAACATATTGGTGTGGCTTGGTTGAAGCTCCTGATTTGTCCCCCTGCCCTGTCCCTCCTGCATGACTCTGGTTTTGTTTTTGTTTTTTTTTTCAACACAGTGTTTCTCTGTGTGGCTCTGGCTGTCCTGGAACTCACCCTGTAGCCCAGACTGGCCTCAAATTCACATAGATCGAGCTACTTCTGCCTCCCCAGCACTGCGATTAAAGGCCTCCACTGCCTGGCAGTAATAAGGTTCTTTTTGTGGAGATGAAGGGGTGTTGAAATAGTCTTTTTATGTAGTCCCGGTTGGCCTTAAACTTGGGATCATTCTCCAGATGCTGGGATCACTCCTGGCGTGTGGTTCATTTGAAGTGTCATTCACACTTTATTGATTGATTGATTGATTGATTTAGCTTCTTCCAGACAGGGTTTCTCTGTGTAATCCTGGCTGTCCTGGAACTTGCTCTGTAGACCAGGCTGGCATTCAAACTCACTGAGATCCGCCTGTCTCTGCCTCCCGAGTGCTGGAATTAAAGCCACCATCGCTTGGCCACACTTTATTCTTCCTGTGTGCCTTTGCTATACCACTTTAATTTCCTACTTTGCTTTACTTGAGTTTACCTTTGTTCACAAGATCCTCTGCATACACACATTGCGGCTATATCATTTTGTAACAGTTATAGTAGCTAACATTTGTTCAATGGAAGCAATTAGCTACATTGCTTTAAATGCTCTACTTCTCATTTGAGGCTCACAACAACCCATGATGAAGTTCTGTCTTTAACTCTGCTTTACAGATGGAGAAATTAAGGCACAGAGATTAATTCGGCTAATGTCACAAAGCTAGCAGGTGGTTACAATAGAATAAGCATTCTCACTCCAGACCCTGTGTTTATAACAACTTGGTTTATTTCCTCCTACAAATCATCAGCCCACTTTCTTTAAATTTTGACAACTGCAATAATGTTTTTGGAGCATAAAGCATAAATGTAATACCCAAACCATATAGTAACATTCAGAAGGACACACTACTATGCTTACATATTTTTTTCTTTTCTCATTTGTTGTCCACTCCCCCTACCCCGACAAAGGGAGGGTCTCATTATCCCAGGCTGGCCTCATGCTCAGTACGTGGCTGAGAATGACGTTGAACTGCTGATTTTCCTGTCTCTAGTCCTAGGATCATAGGCATTTGCCCATCATGCCTCATTTGGAGAGATGGCTCGGCGGTTAAGAGCACTACCTGCTCTTTCAAAGGTCCTGAGTTCAATTCCCAGCAACCACATGGTGGCTCACAACCATCTGTAATGAAATCTGGTGCCCTCTTGAGGAAGAGACCTGGTCAGTCGTCCTCATCAACTTAAATCATGAAACCCAATATGGACAAGTTCAACAGAATCACCATATACAGGCGACCCATGCATGCTTCAGCATTGCCAGTGCATAAATTTCATTTCATTCAGGGATCAAACCCAGGACTACATGCATGCTAGGTAAGCATTCTACTAACTGAGCTACAACTTCAGCCTTCTTCTTCTTATTATTTTTTTAATTTATTTTTATTTTATGTTCATTTTTTGTTTTGTTTTGTTTTTTGTCATGGGCGTCGGGTCCTCTGAACTGGAGTTACAGACAGTTGTGAGCTGCCATGTGGGTGCTGAGAATTGAACTCTGATCATCTGAAAGAGCAGTCAGTATTAACCACTGAGCCATTTCTCCGGACCTATTTTGTGTGGGTGTGTGTATGTGTGTTTTTCCGAGATTAAACCCAGGTCCCTTTATATACTGGGCAAGTACCTATATTTCTCATTGAATTAATTTTCATCATTCAGATTTATGGAATCTTGCCGCCTCTGCTATATTAAATTATGATGCTCAATCTTCTATCTCACTTAAAATTAGGGATGGATTTCAAATAATTTGTGTACTTGAGCAGGGAAATACAGTTATAATTATTCTCTACAGTCATTTGGATTTGAGCCCCTCAAAAATTCTTGTAAAATGAGAACTGGCACCACATCACTAGGGAATGTTTGAACTGAAGACTGCTTTTTGGAAATCTGTGTCGTGGTTGGACATTAAAGCCATTAGCTCTTAAAATGAAACCTATGAATATTTAATGTGATAATATACTGCTTGCTATATTATCTATCTACAGTGAAACATGTGTCAACTTTAGATATGTCCAAGACAGAATCCTTAATTCTTAAAAGGACATGTTTCATCCATCCCATGAGAAGTGGAAGGTCGAATAAACCATTACACCTGAGTTTTCTCATTACCTATGCTTTTAAATTATCAACATAAAAAATAGATTTTATTATATAAATATTTTGCCTGCACATAAATTTAAGTCCATCATATATATGTATGCAGTGCTAGAGGAGACCAGAAGAGGGCATTCAGATCCCCTGAACTGGAGTTCGAGGCAGTTGTGAGCTGCTGTGTGGGTGCTGGGAATTGAACCTGGGTCCTCTGGAAGAGCAGACAGTGCTCTTAGCTGTTGAGCTGTCTTCCCAGTCTCTATAAACTTTTATTACAAGATCCATCCTTACTATCAGTGTCATTATAACTTTGAACTGTATAATACTCCTTACATGTGTCAAAACTCATGGTGAACAGTGAGTTACTCAACTCACTGCTACAAAAGAAACTTACTCAACAACAAACACAAATTCTGCTTTGGAAGAGTGTAGCACGAGTTCTAATTGATCTTAGTAATAAAAACCCAGAGTCAGATGTTAAGGGGTGAAAGCTGAAAGATCAGAGAAGCAGAGCAGTCAGCCACTAGATCTTTAACTCTGTGAAATCTTCAGACCAAAAAGAGGCCAAGCTTCTGTCTCCTTCCCCTTTATATTCCCTCTCTCCACCCAGGCATATCATATCACTTCCGGTCTGTCTGTACAGACCTCCAGACCTTTATGGGTTAACTAGTGACTAGCTCCGCCCTCTAGCTTCAGGCAAGCTTTATTTGTTCGAGCACAAACAAAATATCACCACAGAAGAGTTTAAACCATGAAAATAAAACTAAAGTCTTTATTGTAGAAGATTCATTGTTACTCATTCACACCTTCAAGTCGATGGTGGTTCTTAAGCTGTCAACTCCTCTTAAAGGAGATGCACTTGATGGGGCTGGAGAGATGGCTCAGAGGTTAAGAGTATTGCCTGCTCTTCCAAAGGTCCTGAGTTCAATTCCCAGCGCCCTCTTCTGGCCTGCAGGCACACACACAGACAGAATATTGTATACATAATAAATATTTTTTTTTAAAAAAGGGAGGTGCGCTTGAACTATAGCAGAAGAAATATCTACAAGGTACAATTTTTTTGACTATAAACACAGATAAGTGTGATACTTGCCAAAAAGTTATAGATTATGACCATTTCCTCATGTTTTCTATTATTTGCTACATGAGTAAATTTATATGAGTAAATGGCTGGAGATAGAATGGAGATGAGATGAATTGTAATGAATACAAGTTGTGTTCCACACAATGGCATTTTTAAATCAACAATGGAAGTGTACAGGAAGACAGTTCCATAAGTCCCATTATAATGGAGCAAAAAATTTGTTGACATTTAGTCAAGAGATAGTAACTATCCTTATGTCCTATGACAAAACATTGCTCAGCATATTGTGATTCTGATAGAACAGTCCTACTCTGTTGCTAAGCAACAGTATAGGGCAACGGAGCATGGTGGCTCACTTCTGTAATCTGAGCACTTGCAAGGCTCTCCTAGTTTGCTTTCTCTGTTGCTTTGATAAAATGGCCAAAAGCAATTTGAGAAGGAAAGGGTTTACTTCAATTTTACAGCTTACAATCTATCATAAAGAGAAGTCAGGGCCTGGACTCATTTAGGAACCTGAAGACAAGACCTGAAGCAGAGACCGTGGAGGAACTCTGCTTACTGACTTGCTCCTCTGGCTTGGGCAGTTTGCTTAATTTTACCACCCAGGACCACCTGCCCAGGTGTTAGTTACACTGACCATAGTGGTCAAGAAAATACCCTGTAAACATGCCCATGATAACTGATAGATTTTTTTCAATTTAGGTTCCCTCTTGCCAGATGCTATTAACTTGTGTCAGGTTGACAAAGTAATAAGTAGAGGAGGCTGATGCAGAAAGATTTCGATGAGTGCCAGGATAGCCTGAGTTACAGGGTGAAACTAACAGGTACCACCTGTTAGTAAATTCGTGATAGTTTTAATGTTTTAGCTGAATACTACTTGGAGTCAGAGCCCAAAGTGAAGGATGTTTCGAGGAAACAGAAGCCTGGAAAAACATTCTGCCGTAGAAACTTTAGAGGAATGCTTTTCCTGGAGTCCAGTCTGTGTGGATTTTTTATGTTTAACGTTAACATCCCTGTTTAGTGGTCTAAGGGCTTCCCTAGCATGCCTGAGGGCCCGTTCCCAGTGTCACCTGCCTAGCTGTCGCCAACCTTTTCCACAGTATCCACCAGTTTTGTTGCAGTTCTTTAGTGTTTTGAAATGAGGTCTTCGGTGGCCTAGGCCCTCATTGTATTTCTAGGATGAATTTTAAAATATTACTTATTGCCACTTCAGAAAAGGAATTGTTGCTTATCACAGAAAAAAAAGTACCTTGAAAAAAACAAAAACACAACAGCCTGGCTTGTTGGTGCACACCTTTAGTCCCAGCACTTGGGAAGCAGAGGCAGACAGATCTCTGTGATTTTGAGGCCAGCCTGTTCTATAGAGTTAGTTCCAGGACAGGCTTCAAAGTTACACAGAGAAATCCTGTTTAGAAAAACAAAAACAAAACAAACAAAAGAAAGTAAAATGAGAACTTTATTCATTCTTTTTGATTATTGTGATAGGGTCTGGCTATATAGCCCAGGCTGGAGAAATGGCTCAGTGGCTAAGAGCATTGCCTGCCCTTCCAAAGGTCCTGTGTTCAATTCCCAGCAACCACATGGTGGCTCACAACCATCTGTAATGAGGTCTGGTGCCCTCTTCTGGCCTGTAGGCATACATGCCAGATAGAATATTGTATACATAATAAATAAATAAGTAAATATTAAAAAAAAAAAACAGAATAGGCCAGAATTTTCTATCCTCCTGCCTGTCTCTCTTTTAAAATTATTTTTATATCATGTGTACTTGTATTTTGCCTGCATGTATGACTGTGAAAGTGTCAGTTCCCCTGAAACTGGAAACAGACAGTTATAAGCTGCCTTGTGGGTGCTGATTATTGAACCTCTGGAAGAGCAGCCAGCGCTCTTAACCACTGAGCCATCTCCCCAGCCCCATGCCTCTACTTCTCTAGTGCCGGGGTAACAAATGTGCACTACCACATCTAGGAAACTTTTTTTTTTTGCTTAAATAAGTCATTAAAATGAATTGAGAAACCAAGTAATATGTGATTTTTTTTTTTCTGAATCAGATACTGTTCTCATTTGTTTTTATTTACTTGATTGTGAGTTTTACTGAAATTTTCTTTAGGAAAAAAAATCAGAAAATCTGAGTGCTGTGTAGTATGCCTTTGGCTCCAGCTTATGAGAAGTTGAGGTGAGGAAATCTCTTGACTTTGGGTTCAGCATTGGCAGCACTCAGGTTCCATGTATGGTGGTGCTATCACCTGCTAAGCCCTCTTGCTGGCCCTGGTCGTGCCAGTCTTTAGACTCCTCTGAAACCTGACTTCCTGAATTTACTATGTTTTTTTATGGAAGAAAAGCCTGTGAGCTGTAGCGCAAACTTAAAGCAGAGGTGTGTGAACTCCTCGCAGTTCGTGAGAAGTTGTGATGTGTGCATTTTCCTCAGGAGGGGATCCATGGCTCCAATAGGCTAAGGATCTCTCCTGGCTAGGAAAAGGGAAAGCCAAAGGTTTAAAATTAGAAGGTTTTTACTTTTTTTACTTGCCAAAATTTGTTCTAACAATAGAATAGGGGTGGAGTGGAGTGGAGGGGAGGATGGTAACACAAATTTCATATATTTTTTCTTAGTTCTTGTGGAAAGTCAGTTTGCCAGATACTAATACATAAAATCAGGTATGATAAATACTAAGATTTTTGCCCAAATGGTTTTGTTTTATTTTTTTTCTGCCCAAAATTTGCAATTGTATGTCAAAATATATAATTACAAGTTTATGCTTTTGGTTTGTTTGTTTCTTATTTTAAGTCAGATCTCTCTGTTTAGCTCTGGCTGTCTTGGAACTCTGTGTAGATCAGGCTGGCCTGGAACTCACAGATTCTCTTCCCAGCCAATTTTGGGATTGCAGGCATGCGCCACCTACTGTTAGCATGTTAGTCAAGCACTCTACCTACTGTGTTACATCCCCAGCCCCCATATGCCTCTGTGTGTGTGTGTGTGTGTGTGTGTGTGTGTGTGTGTGTGTGTGTGTGTGTGTGTGTGTATGTTGCTTAAGATTGAACCCAGGGCCTTATACGTGCTGGGCAAGTACTCCACTGAGCTGTGTCCTTAGACCTTTTGAGTTTTTATTAAACTTGGTGTTTTGTTGCCTTAGTTAAGAGCCTCTGGTTGTAACTTTAAATAGGAGTTCAAAGGGAAAAGATCTATTTTACAGAGACTGCTCCTTTCTCTCAGAGGTATTTGTTTGGGGTTGTTTCCCAGAGACAAGGTCTCGCTGTATACCAGGCTGGCCTTGAACTTGTAGCAGTCTTTCTGCCTTGCATGCTGGTATTATAGATTATAGATGTGAACTGCCATGCCCAGTTCGAAGTGTTATTTTGACACTTTTATAAGAAAAACCTCCAGTTTTTGGAGATTCCCTTCCTGTGTAATTCCCCTTCTCTTGTGGGGTATATGACTTTTGAAGACTTGTTTTAATCGTCTGAGTGAGAGGAATTTTGGTTTTGTCATGTTTAGTTGGCCACTGAGTATGTTTAGTATGGCCAGTTTGACAACTGCATATGAAAAGCGGTGTACCTATTTGTTTCTCTTATAACATTGTTTCCTGCTAATACAACTAAGCTATCCTCCCTGCGGGTCCACTTTATTTTTTATCTGATAGTGTAGACCAGTGAAGCCAGTGTTTTCTAAAAGCATGGTTATACAGCTATTGCGCCTGATTTCTGCTCCTCCTCACTGTGTGCTCTGACCAGTTGCTCTCAGCTCTTTAGATCAGTGGTTTTTGTCATGGTGACTATTTTGTTAATATGAAGTGGGTTAAGTACAGAGCCAGTAGCAGAACCCTTGGCCTGTGCCTGTATGAGCTATTTAGTTTCCTCCTGTGTTGCCAAACCAGGGAGGAACTGGCTCCTCCCACTTTCTGAATACAAGAGCAGGAATTCGAGGACACTGAAGTGAAGACACCTCAGTCTCACCCTTAGTGAGTTAGTAATGTCAGGAAGGGCTTTGAAGCCACTGGCCCTGCTTGTAGATCTTATTTTCCAAGCCTTTCATTATTTTATTTGCCCTTTTCTGAACTCTACAATTTCCCTCTCTTGTAGCTGGTTCGATGCCCAGAACTGAATGCTGTGCTCCAGCTGTGGTCTCACCGGTGCTGACTAGAGAGGAAGAGCCACCTTCATAGCTTACATGTGATTCCTCTGCCTATACAACCCAATACTGGATTTGCTTACTTTGGCAAGATAGCTGCATTGTGCACTGTATTTAATGTTACGTGTACTGTAACCCTGGGTCTTTCTCTGCATTGCTGCCGTCAAACCTCAGTCCTGCCAATCTAAAAGTCCTGCCTTTGTGTACCCGCCCTCTTCCCCATAGACCCCCCACCACCACATTCATTCACAACGGATGTCATCTTTTTATTCTCTAATTCCCTTTTACTTTAATCTTAAACTCTGGCAAGACTTTCACTCTGTCCTATAAATTGTCAGCTGTCAGCCCCCTCCCTCCCCGCTTTGGTAATGGAGCACCCTACAAGCCTTTTCTCTAGTTCTTTTCCATTTGTAGTCCTGTAACCCAGGCATTTGGCATGGTGGATTCATAAGCTTTCACCTGGTGTTTGTGAATCAGGTGCTGGGAATAACTCTGGTTGGCCCCTGAAGTTCTTGCCTTGCTTAGTCTAGATTTCCTCAACTCCTCAGGACCTCTGTCTGGGTGGATAGTATAGTTTTACAGCCCCTCCTCCAGGGAGGAGGTGCGAATGGACTGTCAACTTAATAGAGAGATTCCTAATAGACAGTAAGAAGTTAACTGTTGTCTTTTAATACAATAGCCTTTAGTTTTTAAATTTTTCCAGTTAGAGATCAATTTGCTATACGTTTCTGAGGTGAATGAGGTAAATGAAGGAAGTGAAGCAAGATTTTTTTAATGTTAAGTAGGCTGTGGTTCACCGGGAAAGCCAAAATTTGTATCTTGTTGGATTTGGTAGCTTACTCAAGTGGGAGCTGCAGCCTCATCTTCCTGGACTCTGGAGCATCCTGATGCCTGATTTAGAGAAGGGTTTTAGTTGGTTTGTTTAGGATTGTTGATACAGCCGCCCAGTCTTTTAATTATATGCTTTAATGAAGCATTTAGAGGATAATGTATTCTATAATCTTTTCTGTGGGTGGTAAGAATTGGAAGGTCTCTAAATGTCCTTTTTATCTGTGTCTGAGCTCTCAAAGTGAATCCTAGTGGGTCTTAGGGTAGCAGTTAAGACACCTCAACCCCTCCCCACACCGTCTTAGTGGATGTTCCCTGTTTAAACAGACTGTCCTTGAGTTTGGGCATTATCAGACCTACAAGGTACTGTTTACAGGTATTTGTATCTTGAAGGAGAGAAAGTTGATTTGAAAATTTTAATTTTAGTGCCATTTCAGTACATCAGATTATTATCATGGTTTTAGACATCACTAAACACCTGGTAGATGTCAGCACATTGTAAGCATGTGTTGCAGGTGTATATTACAACTAAGAGGTGTGTATAGCTGCCAGAGACCGCTGATTTTAGTATTCGCAACTACATAACCAAAGGAAATTATAAGCTCAATTTGGTGGCTTTGAAGAATGTCCTTTCTCTGGTTCCTCCCCATGCATATTATCAAAATTTGGTGAACTTATTTTTGATCAAGAGAATGAAAGTTTGCAAATATAGGAAGAAATTCATAGATGTGCTTGTGCCTCTGTCACTTCCTCATAAGTACGGTGCCTTTCTAAAAGGAAACGTTAGTTTTGTTCCTTAGCTTCTGGAGTAGCCCTCAGTGACAGAGCCAGTCAACTGGACTTTGGTGTTCTGTAGGCAGCCAGTGAGTAGTGAGACCATCTCCATTTATGGTCTCAGAAGAGGGAAAGGGACAGGACTGGAACCCTCTATTTACAGTCCTTAGGAATCAAGAGTGGTTGGGGTGTTCTTGGAGGCAGAAACTAGGCATTGTAAGATAAAAATAAATTGTCAGGGGCTGTTTGCAATTCAAATTCCTATCTCTGAGGAGGGCAGAGGGTGCTGGGAAAGGGGGGTATGTCCAAAGTCAAGTGAGATTTGCAGCGCTTGTCTCTTTCCTTTGGGAGATTTGACCATGACACACATTTTCCAAGTTTATGTTTCTGGATTATTCTAGAAAGTTTTGTTATGGGGTCATGATTCTCTGTTGCAAAAAGAAAGCTGAGATGACTTTTAAAGAGTTTGTGGGAAGCCTCGTTCTCTGTAAGGTACCATTTGAGGCTGTGGGAGAGGTGCTATGAAAGGGGTGCTGTTTGGGGGATGACCATGTCTCATGCTTTTCTTATTTATTATTCTTTTTGCCTGTGTGGATTTCTGGCCTCAAGGGACAGATTTAAAGAGTCTTTGAGGGAGTGTGGTAGACTGTCAACTGTCATTTAAAGGCACTGCACTCTTCATGGAAATGCCCTCACGACCCAGACTTGGTTTCATTTGGTGAGAATAGGTCAAGTATTGGCATATGGAAGGCAGTCTCTCCTTTAGGAGAATCAGATATTCCTGATAACACTTATACATTAAGTTAGAGATAAACTAGTTTTAACAGTTCAGTTAGAAAAGTTAGATTTTTGTCTCTCAAAAAAATTCTGAGTGAAACTCTATGTAGTAGAAAAGGGATTGGAAGGAAGAACAGGAGGCGGAGACAAGGAGAGCCTGAGAGACCAGAGTGTCAAGCTGAGACAAGGCCTTGATTCATCTTTTGATAGATATATCGAGAAAGATAGCAGGAGGTGTGCGCCCTTCACTTCGGGACACTGGGCTAGTCTGAAATATGTACAGAATGAGAGGCCGTAAGAACTGAGAGCTGAACCAGACCACGTTACCCAGGTTTTGTCCTTGAGCTTGCACAATGGTATTTGCGGTGTGTCAAGTGACAGAGAAAGAGCAAGATGACTGTCTCACCTCCTAGAAAGATTGTTGGCCCTGCTTGTTGGTTTGTTTAGTTGACAATTTCAGTTGGTAGACTAGTAAAATGTAGATATTAATGTAATACTTCTTGGTCATTGGGTCTGAGACTGGAGACTTAGGACATTTTTGATTTGATTTCTGTTTAAATTGTAGAAGTTTTTACCGTGACAGAGTGAGTTAGTGAGGAACACAGACTCTGTAAGGGATCTGTCTTGTTAGCTACTTGTCTAGGCAACTGTTTTCCCCTGTACTCCTTAACCAAGGGTAAGGAAGATGTTCTTCGCTTGGGGAAATTCTTTTTTTCTGTCCTTCCCTCACGTTTTCCAAATTCTGGGCACCATAGCAGCTCTCTCTTGTGGCAGGTGTGCATCCTATTGGCTGGCTGGTATTTCTTTTTTTTTCCTCCCCCTTATCCTTTTTAAATGGGGGAGGGGGCATATAATATGTGTATGTGGGAAAATGCAATAATGTTGTAATGTTTCTTGTTGTTTTAATTGATAATTGCAAAATAATTGTTTGAATTATAACATGTTTGAGTAAATGCTAAATTAGTATTTTTCTAATATAATAATGAATTTGAAATCTAGCATTCCTGTAACAATGTGTCTGTGTTTGTCTGTCCGTGTCTGTCTGATAGTAATTAATATCTGTGGTCCGTATCTGGAGGAGGAAGTACAGCTTTAAAGGAATAACAAAAGACTTTGTGTCTTAGACCCTTCGCAGGTGTTACAGTCGGGTGAAAGAACATGGTGTTGGGAAAAGAAAGAGCAGTTACACATTTGAACAGTTGGAACAGGTGTTTGGTCAGGGAGGATGGGATGCTCAGCCCTGCCAGCCTGTACTTATTAACAGTAGTGGCTTGTACCAGGAGCTGGAGTCAGATGGCAGCACTATGGAGGACTATTCACAGGAGGACTGGGGAAACCACAGTCAGGATCTCCATGGCTATCCAACAGATCAGGAATTGGGTAAGAAAACCACTGCATGTGTGTTGTGTGTGTATGCATGCCTGGTATGTGCACTGGTATTTATCATCTGTGATAGCTTCTAGTGCTGGCAGCACAAGGCGTATTGCTAAACTATTTGAGCCAACATGGGCATATTTGGTTTGGGTGATTTGGGTACAGCTAAGCTCCCTACAGATAGAAGAATTCCTAGTCTGAGTCATATAAGGACAGTGACATAGTCATACAGTGACAATCTTCTGCAACTCAAAATACCCTGCTCTTTGTAGCGCTAAGGTTCCTGCCAAGAGCATTGACTTTTGGTCCGGCTACATTTGATGGGCCTAATTAAGAGGATACATGTAGTCTTTTTGCTTACATCTCTGTATGTCAAGTCCACCAGTTTTGACTTTCTTACGTGGGAAATACAGGTCAGCTTTTAGCTGTAGCCTATGTATATCACCAGCAAGTTGTGTAATGAGTATGTTAGGAATAAATGCCCTTCCGCCTCAGGAGGTGCTCAGGATTGACTCTATACATTTGTTTCCCTTCCTTAAGGAAAAAAATTACAGAAATCTTGCCCGGTGACAGAGAAATAAAGAAAAAGGGTAGATTGTTATCATAGTTTCTATTAGTACTTTAGAACTTCTTCCAAATATTGGAATGGGAAAAGAAAGAGGCTCTCAGATTCATAAGATTATCAGCCATATGTAAGAAAACGAAGACTGGAAGAATAAGAATAGATGCTGAATGATCTGGCCTTTCAATCTCACAAGAACAGTAAGGCCTAGACTGCAGTGTCTCACAACCCTATTTGCTGTAAAGAGTTAAATCACCCAGACCTCGAAAAAAATAACACACAGAATATGCTGATCCTCGTATTTGGGGGAATAATTACTTACACTGTAAAACCCACGTAGAAAACCTAAATAGAGCAGAATCATTTTCGTTCTTGTTCTTTCAAAATCATGTTTGCAGTGAAATTAAACTTTAAGCTCCTCGCTTGAAATCCACTGGTGACCTTGAAGAATTTTATACTTGGGAAGCCTGGTTTCTGATCTTGCATATAAATGTTCGCATCTCATTATATAAAGTTATATTTTTAAGTCTGGTACAGGGCAGTAAATAGAGCTACTTATCTACATAAATGTGTGCCACCATTTATAAAAAATATAACTTCTTTCAAAATTCCTTGTTTTTCAGATGAAATGCCAGTTTCAAAGAGAACATTAAAAATAAAACAAGAGTCTCCTGAAGAAGCACAGTAAGTACATGCTTCATTTTTTTTTACCAATATGTCTAAATTTAGTGACCTGGGAGGATCATGGGTACCAAGGCATGGTGTAGAAACTCCAGCCTTACCACCATGGAAGCGTGTCTGCTCTTTCTTCACTCTGCCACTAGGGACCTGAGATGCCGCATTCTACATACAGAAAGAAGAAACGTGTTACATGAAATCATGCATTTCCTGTGTGGACGTGCTTCCTAAGACACAAGATAAGCCACAAAGACTTGAGCTTAGTGGGGCTGGGTGAAATGGTAGAGGGCCAAAGGGACATAAATTCTTTATAATACTGCAGTGTGAGAACAGAAAGGAAGCTCTTAGATGACCTACTTACCATGTAGAAATCAGCTCCTGGAGGAAAGACTGAGAAGGTCCAGGATAGAGCCTCTCACTGGCCCAACTGCTGTTTTTTCCCCTAAGAGTTTGTACCGTCCGTTACACTTACAGTTCTTTTTAATGGCTTTAAGTGAGTTCGTTATCAAAGCCATTTAAAAAAATTAGTTTGGGGCTAATTGAAGAGCACTACTCACTTGTCTTCCTGGTAACCTTGAATTCATAGCACCCATATCTTGTGTGTTGCATTCCATATGTGTGATCTTGACATTTGAGACAGGAAGACACAAGCTGCCACTTGTCACTAGCTTTAAATGCTGGAACTTTATTGGTATTGAATCTTCAGAAGCCAGGAAGTAGGTAGATCTCAGGAACTACTCAAATAACTATGGTGCCAAATTGCTCCACACTTCTGAACTACCCTCGTGCTAAGGCCAGTAGGACTTTTTAGTATGCTCTGTCCTCTGCTGCTCTTTTTCTCCTAAGGAGTGAGAGGTTCTGAAAAAGCCGTTTACTGCTTGGTTAGCACTTCTGCAATTCCTTGCACTGTCTGCCTAGTGCTCATCATGGGACATGTTGAATAAAATAAAAATAGCTTGGCTTGGGCAGTGGGTTGAGTTTTGTTCTCTCTCTCTCTCTCTGCATCTGTGGGGTTAGTTAACAAACTGATCCATGCATCACAAAGAATATTCACTAAATCATTTTGTTAACTTTTGTTTTCTAAGTGTCTGCTGTATGCAAAACACGAAGATATTTTAGTGAACAAAATGAACAAGTCTCTGCCCTCTACTCCGTCTCCTATGTGTAGTGTTCCCTGAGATCAGTCAAACACGTTAAGGGCTGGAGAGATGGCTCAGTGTTTAAGAGCACTGACTGTAAAACATGGGAGTGGGAGTTCAGATCCCAGCACCTATGTAAGAAAGTTGGGCCTGGTCCTGTATCACACATAAAGCTTGCACTGAAGGAAATGGAGCTCTGGGGTGGGCAGCTGCCTCTCAACTCAAAAAATGAAAGCTCCAACTTCAGTGAGAGAGGTGTCTCAAAGGAACATAGCTGAGAACGGTCGAGGAGGATACTTCTGTACAACACATAAGTGTGCATACAGCAAACACATTTAATTCCTTTAAGAGAAGGAAATGTACAAATGATTCAATGACTATGAAAGGTAATTCTCTTTTGACGCATTGTCCCACTCAGTCAAATAGCGTAAGCGAGGGAGTGAGCACCTTCATCTTCCCTGAGGAGGGAAGTAGGTCCCCAGGGAGCCAGTGCTTTCATTAGGTGCTGGCTTGGTCTCGTAGGGTACTCTTAGGTCCCGAGAAGCACCTGATAACACAGTGTTAGCCCTTTGTATTTTGTAAAGATAGGCCAGGGAGATGCTGTTCTGTATGTCCTCTAGAATGCTCCAAAGCTCTTCTCCTAGAAGATACAAGATTTTAAAAGGAAAGTCTAAAGGACTGTGGCCTCTTTTGAAGATTCTGTTAGCAGAGAGCAGGAGAGAAAGCTCAGTGATTGAGTGCTTGGTGCTCCTGTAGAGGCCTCAACTTGAGATCCCAGCATTAGTGTCCAGAGGCTCACAGCTGTCTCTAACTCCTAGGCCCCCACCAGCACTTGTATACCTTCACTTCCCCCTCCCAAATAGTAATTTTTAAAAAATGTACTCTTAGCAAATCCCCCTTTTTTGATTGCAAGTGTGGACTAAGCACTTTTGTAGGTTAAACTTAGAATTGATTTTTAAAAATATAATAACTCGATTGCCAAGTTAATATTGAATAAGCCAAATTTACCATATCAAAGTTCGGCCATACTTAGCAAATATTTTTAAAAAAATATTTTGTTTTGTTTTATGCACACATTTGCCTGATTGAGGGTGTCGGATCCCCTAGAACTGGATTTACAGACAGTTATGAGCTGTCATGCTGTTGCTGGGAATTGAACGCAGGTCCTCTAGAAGAGCAGCCAATGCTCTTAACTGCTGAGCCATCTCTCCTGATTGCCACCTCCCCTACCCCTTGAGACAGGGTCTTTACATAGCCCTGACTGTTCTGGAACTCACTGTGTGACCAGGCTGTCCTTGAACTCAAAGAGATCCACTTGGCTCAGCCTCCCAAGTTCTGGGCTTAAAGGCATACACCACTATTCCCAGTGAGAAACAACTTGGAATTGCATTTATGTAAATTACGTGAAGTGTAAGTCAATATATTAGCTAATAGCCTGTTAGTTTATTAGTTCATAGCATGTTCTATCTTGATATGCTAATTACAGAAGTCATAACTGAAGATTTCTGTAATTTCACCTTTAATATTCTAACTAAAATTTGGGAGTGGTAATGAGTTCATACTGATTCATTTAATTAGAAATGGCATATTGCTCATGTCCTTAGTTATAACCACGTAATTATCTCTCCAGCACGTGTGTGAAAATGACTGGACTGTCGTAAATTCTGTTTTAGGAATTGTTATCTGGGGCAGCGCTGGTGCTTTGTTAAAGTAGCCTTTTGGGTTTTGCACGTTGGCCCGGCGTCCACTATAAGGGTTATGATAACCATTTTTTAAAAATCTGTGATCCGCTGGACAGTGATGGCACATGCTTTTAATCCCAGCACTCAGGAGGCAGAGGTGGGCTAGGTGGATCTCTGAGTTTGAGGCTGCCTGATCTACAGAGTGAATTCCAGGCCACCCAGAACTACACAGAGAAACCTGGTCTTGAAAAACAAAACACAAAACAAAGCAAAAATAATAATCATAATAATCATAATCATAATAATAATACTAATCATGCTCCTGAGAGGATCAGTGACAGCAGCAGTGATGGAAGGGCTTGTTCCAGCCGGGAGCCCACGGCCAGTCCCCGGGGTGCACGGGAAAGTAGCAGAGAAGCGACTCCACACTAGTGACGTGCCACATACACACACACAGTAGTAATTTTCTAAAAATTCAACGTTTCTGAAATCCTGGGGTCTTAGGAATTTATATTTATTAGATTTGATACAGTGAGACTATGAAAAGCAGATCGTTTTTAATTCTAGGAACTCAGTGGGATATTTCTGACATTTAATGCAGTGACCTTCCAATGTGGAAGCCTTTCTGAGATGTGGGTGTTTAAATGTAACATTTTACTCTTGTTGGCAGTGTTTTAAGATCTAGTGGTGCCTAGAGTGGGCAGTTTAGGCACTGAACATTTCCATCATCTTAGAAAATTCTGTTAGATGTTGCTGCTCTAGACACTTCAAGAATTTGACTGTTACTTTCTCTTTCTAGGAAACGAGACACCATGCAGAATATTGTACAGATTTTGGAGTCAGTACAGTTGAAATGGGAACTGTTTCAGAGTTGGACAGACTTTTCAAGGCTCCATCTTTCCAATAAATTGGCCATTTTTGGAATTGGCTATAACACCCGCTGGAAAGAGGATATCCGTTACCATTACGCTGAGATCAGTTCCCAGGTGCCCCTTGGTAAGCGTCTTCGGGAGTACTTCAACTCCGAGAAGCCTGAGGGACGAATAATCATGACTCGAGTGCAGAAAATGAACTGGAAGAATGTTTACTACAAGTTCCTAGAGATCACTATTAGTGAAGCCAGGTGCCTGGAGCTGCACATGGAAATCGACTGGATACCCATTGCCCACTCCAAGCCAACGGGTGGGAATGTTGTTCAGTATTTACTGCCAGGAGGGATTCCGAAAAGTCCAGGTCTTTATGCCATTGGCTACGAAGAATGTGTTGAGAGGCCCCTCACCCCAGATGTAGAGCGCCAGGCCCTGGACCCAGGAAAAGAAGGCCGGGTTGGCCTGGAAACCCTCTCAGCACAAGCCTCGTTGCACGTGGAAATAGAACCCACCCGGATCATCTACTGCTACCTCGGAATTGCTGAGGTCAGGACTCTGCAACAGTGCTTGTTTTTACATTTCCAAGCAAATACCAAAACCTTCAGTAAGGAGTGGGTTGGTATTAATGGATTTTTGTCTCAGAACTGTATTGTGGATCCTGGAATTTCCCCCAAATCCATCTATATCAAATTTGTAGAAGTAGAGAGGGATTTTCTTTCTGCCGGCTCATTAGTTGAGTGTCTGGAAAAAGCCATCGGATATCCCTTAAAATTTAACAACTGAGTATCATCCTTCATAAGGATTTGGGCGTGTGCATTCTTCTCCATCCTTCCTGTTCCCCAGACTACCCCCAGTCCAAATGCTGCCCTCAGCCTCTCCGTGGGAATTCTGTCCACGATGAGACCAATGTGCAACCTCTCAAGCAGCATAGCAGACACTGGGCAGAAAGGCAGACCTCGCCTGAAATGCTCATTTCGAGCAAGCAGGTCTTGCATGGTGGGTCAGTTCTTTTTTAAAAAAAGAAAACATTGATTTTTAAATGGATTTTAGAGCCCTGAAATGAACAAATGTAGGTACATTCCATATTGGACAAAACTTATACTTTGAGTTTCATATGAAATTGAAAACTGTATTTTTTTCACGATGTTTCATTTTTACACATCTCTATAAGTATTATTTACAAGCTTGAATAAATAAGCAATAGATAATGACAAGTACATCTTGAATCACAGTGAATAAGGCTGTTTTTCAATATTACCTTTAGCTACTATTGTATATAATTTAGAGTTTCATCTTTTTCACCAACCAAGTGTTTTGCTATTTCCAATCAGTGTTGCCTGCAAAGACTTTTGTTTATGTGATGTACAATTTTTATGGTTGTGTTACCATTTAAATTAAAAAAAAAATTAAAGGAATTCCTGACCTTTTGGGTTGCTAGTTGAGCTTTCTGTACCAGAGTGTGGCTGCATTGATTGTGGGGCTCATGTCCAGCTTCGATGGAAGAGTGAAGAAGCCGAGGCTGGGCTCTGTCCAGCGCTAGTGCTCATCTAGAATGCTCAGGGCCCTAGGTTCAGTCCCCAGTACTGGAAAGAAAAGAATGGCCATACCAAACAGAGCATGCTGTTCCTCTATGTGTGAACAATGACCATAGTCCTTGTCGAGAGTTCCAGAGGGCATTCGACACCACAGTGTGTCTGTCCCTAGAAAACGACTGCGGGGATCTGCTTCTGACTTTGGGAGTACACATGGGCAGGGCGCTTTGACTCCTCGCCTTTCACTCAGTAACTGGAGTGAGTCTCCTAAGTACTGAGAGGACAGACGTGATGCCAACCTGGTGTGTCTAAAAAGAGAAAGAGAAGAGCCAATAGAAACACAATACTAATGCCTTTGAAAAGCAATCCACGAGAGGAGAAACTGGAAGGTGTCGGTCCAGTAGATAACGACTCTTGCACAGTCCTTTTCCGAGATTCCAGTGGGTCAGGCTCCACTCCACCTGGATGCTAGCACACTTGGCTAAGAATAGTCTCCAGTAGTCAAGGGTCACTTGGTCTTGTGACAGGAACTTGCTAGTTTGGCATTTGTCTTTAATGGTTCCTCAGCATCTCTCAGGTGTTCTGCTTTAAGAGGACAGCAAATTCAGATGAGAACTCTTAAGTCCCTGATTTTGTATACTGTTGAAAGTAAGATCACAGCCAGAAAGGAGGTGGTTAGTCCCAGCACCTGGGAGGCAGAGGCAGACAGATTTTTTTTAAATTATTTTATTGGTGTTTTAACCTGTATGTATATCTGTGTGAGGGTGCTGGATGTTGGAGTTGCAGACAGTTGTAAGCTGCCATATGGGTGCTGGGAATGGAACCGGAACCCCCGTCCTCTAGAAGAGCAGTCAGTGCTTTTAACCGCTGAGCCATCTCTCCAGCCCCAGGCAGACAGATTTCTAAGTTTGAGGACAGCCTGGTCTACAGAGTGAGTTCCAGGACAGCCAGGGCTACACAGAGAAACCTTGTCTCAAAAACTAGAAGTAAAATAAAAATTGCTTATGTAAACCCACAAAATTAAGTCACATTGGTGATTTACCCCTTCTTATTTTAATATCATTTGGCCAATTCATGCGTATATGTTTTTCTAGTGATAGAGCATTTTTAACCACTGGGATGGTTTATATTATTTGAGTCTGGGTTTATGGAGTTACCTTTTTTCTGATGTAAGCTGCTAAGAATAGGTGCCACTTGGAGAGTATAAATATCCCAAGACTGTCGGTGCAGCCCCTGCTCAGTGTGTTCTGTGTGTGTGTGTGTGTGTGTGTGTGTGTGTGTGTGCGCGCGCGCGCGCGTAGGGGCCTTGGAAGAGTCTTGTAAGTTTAACCTTTGGTGCTAAGGCTAAGGTGTATTGATGATCGGACAGCAGCAATCTCGTAATTAACATTGGCAAACTGGAGGAACAAACATTACCAGGAATATTAAATGGCCCCTCCAATACAGCCACTGACCAATCGAGAACTAACATTAATACTGAATTTTTCTATATCCCTTCCTTGGCTAGTAGTTACTAGGTGGCGCAGAATATTTTAGGAACATTTGGTGAGGACTTTACCTGCATACTGCATAGTGTTACTGGGAGTGTGGCATTGTTAGACTCCTGCCATCAGGATGAGGGCAAAGATGAGACCAAGCCTGGGTTTCTGTTTGGCTTGAAATGGTTTGAAGGTCAGGGAAGAGGACAAAACTGAGTGTTGGGAAATGGAGGCTTGTCAGGACCATGACTTGCTGATAGGAGTATCCTATCTGACCAGAGCAGTCTAGAAAAGGTACCAGGCTGTCTGGTAACTGGGCATTACCTAAAACAAGCGACTACAGTTAAGGCCATAAGTATGCTTTTTATCTGATCCAGGAGTGATGGAGGCCCTTTATTCAAATGTTTTTCAAAGACTTTTAGAATTACTTTTTAAAAAATTTTAACTTTCTTTACATGCATGAGCATTTTGCTTGCGTGTATGTGTTTGTGCCACACGTGTGCTTGGAGGTCAGAATAGAACATCAGATCTCCTAGTTTTGGAGTACTGGATGGTTGTAAACCATGCGGATGCTGGGAACTGAAACCCTTGTCCTCTGCCCAGTCTGTCTATCCAAGCCCAGATTATAAATTCTTCGGAAGGTCCGAGAAGTATGGTTGAGAGAAACCTATGAAGTTGTGAACTAGGCTTGCACACATCCAATGTTTATGTAAGCAGTTCTTAGTACAGGTGTGTGTTGATAGAGAATTTTTACGCCACAGTGGAGCGTTGTCTACCCTAAAAAGTAAGCCAGAGCTTGTGGTGTGTCATAGAGCTTCCCGGCTCACGTACTGACTTCCTCAGGCTCAGGTGAGGTTGGAATAGGAGACAGGAAAATTCCTTCTGGTAAAAGCCTGGGAAGACTGCGTCTGTGTCACATGGAGACAGTCACTCCTGTCATCCTTGTGGCCGTCCTGTACCTAAGGTAAGCTTTTTGGGAAGCAGCTTCTGAACCACAATGGGCACCTGAGTCATCAGATGCCTCCGTGTCTGGGCTAGATCCAGGGCTTTGTACCCCCTTTTCCTGGGAGGAGCTATTTGGAATGACAGTCCTGGTCCAGAAACGAATGAGGACTTTTTACAAGAGGGGCTTAATGGGGCAGGAGAGATGGCTCCCAGGCTAAGAGCACTCCCTGCTCTTCAGAGCGTGCTGATTTGACTCTGAACACTCAGATGGCCGTTCGAAACAGACTACCGCTCCAGTTCCAGGGCCTTCAATACCCTCTTCGGGCCTCTATAGGCGCCGGACACGTCGTACACAGACATCTCCAGGCAAAATGCCCATTTTTAAAAGTGCTTATAATATTCTGAAATCTAGAACAATCTGAATTTGATAGACTAGGATAGAGACTAGCACCACCTCTTTGACAAACCCAGTTTGAAGGTCTCTGCACTTGACTGCGCTGCCAAGAGGTAGATTCCAGAGATGTCAGGAGCAGTCTAGTGTTTGCGCAGGCATTTCGTAGAGCCACTGCATGACGGGTATTTGAAGAGGAGCCAGGCTGGCAGCACTGGCGAGAAGTCGCTGGGGCCTCTACAGGTGGAGAAAGTCATTACGCAATGCTGGAGCGGGTGCAGTGTGTGCTGCTGAGGGGGCCCGGCTGCCTCTGTTCCCTCCGAACAGGCTATGCCAGGCATCCCCGGTTATACGTAACCTTTGTTCAGTGGCGAAGCTCAGCCTAATAATTTGGAGCATCTTTTTCCGTGTTTCTTAGCTGTTGGGCAAAGGCAAGCACCGCTGAGTTCCCTGCTGAAGCAGCCTAGGCCATCAGAGGGCGCAGAGGTGCCTCCACCGAATGGCGTGGGAGGGGTATGGGGTTGAAATTAAATTCGCAGAGGAAAGATCTAGTCCTGGGAATTAAAGGATCAGAGCCGGCCTAAGCCGTTCACTGCAAGGGATGGTCAGCAGTGAAGACACCAGTGGCTAGACAGAAGAAAAGGAAATTTACATCCGGTCCCTCCTGCAGCTGTCCCTCCTCCCCAGTCCGCATTAAGGATGAGGAGCTGGGGACAGTCGCCTCAGTTTCCTGCTCAGTTTCCTTGTACCAGTCTTCCCTGTTTGCAGCAATAGGCAAAAGGCCGCGACTCCCTCGGGCCTCAGTTTCTGGAAGTTCTGGAGAACCGGCCCCTCTCTAGCCCTAGGAGAAGTAAGGCCTGTGGTGTCAGCTATCTTAGACTTCCTCGCCTGGAGCCTCGAGCCTGAGCCAGGCTGAGAGGGAGCTGGACGAAAGTTCGAATCCCCACCTCGTCAGCTGCGCCTGGCCCATCTGACCTCGCACTCCACACACAGCAAGGGCCCCTTCTTCCTCTGTGAAGGTCGCTCTGCGATGCGGCACCAGCATCCCGGGCTTGGAGCGGGCCATTCTGGCCACAGCTGCTGGGCTTTTAGTGTCGGGTGAGGGTGGCTCCTAGACTTGGTTTAGTCTCCCATTCCTTTTATGTCACCTCAATGCCCAACGCCTGCGCAGGAGGTGTACATGACTCCTCGGGCTGGTTCACGGGGTACCACGACCTCGCCAACCCCAGCACGAAGAATAAACGGACAGAGGCAGCGGATCCGGCCATCCGAGCTCGGGCAGAGCTCTCCTCCCCCGCTGCGAGTCACTAGCGCCGCGCCCTGCAGGACGGTGACCTCTCCACCCCTTTGAATGCCCCGCCCACTGTCCAGTTGGTCCCCACCCCACCTCTCCATCCGCACACCCGCAGACTTGGGTTGGAGCCACACTTGTCTGTAGCCTGGTTCCTGTGCACATTCGAGTTGCCGCCGCTTACCACAGCACCTGTAGACAGTGTGTGCCCCAACTGTTCTGAGTACTCCGGGCCAAGAAGGGCCATGATTATTCCGGCTGGAATCCCCGAGCCCAACTTGCTGCGGGTTTTGTTCCTGGGACTGAGTACCCTCGGTGAGTCAAACCTCGGGCCTGGAGGGTCTTTGATCAGATAGATCCCACCCTAGATCCTAGGGAGGACTTTGGGAGTGGTTGTGAGGCGACTTTTGCTTGACATTCTTGTCTTTCTTCATCGCCCTCCACTTCAGGGTGTCCATGGTTGGTGCTATGCTTTCTCCCTTCTATGGCCAGAACAGCTCCCAGCTTTGCTGTGGGGTGCGGTGTTGGGAGGGGATGGAGGCATCTCCAGGCAAGACCTCTGGGATGAGTTGGGGCAGCTATTCCCGTGTCCTCGCCACCCCCACTCATCTCAGCTGGATAAGCTGAGGCACCAGATGAAACGGTGACTAAAGAGCTTAAGGACTTAATTCCACTCCCATTCTAGCTGATATGAAAGATCCCTGGGGGAATGTCTGGTCCTCCGCCTTGACGCAAGTACTTCAAGTCAGTACTTTACGTCACAGCGTTTCCCCCACCACATCGCTTTCTTTCCCTCCTGCTTCCT